CAAGGGAGATACCGATTTTTTTGTAGATACCTTTTTTGTAGATCTTGTGTTTTTCGATAAATAATGTTTATATGAAAAATTCGCTGTGCCCCTCCAGTTTCGAGATATTTGATTTTTTGAGGTAAGACACTTGTAAATAATTCTAATTAATTATTCATCGCGAATTATTTAATTATCATTTCTCCGATTGCATTACAGATCTGAAAATAATTAAATAAATTATAGTATTTACTAAATATTGTGTGGAATAATTTCAAGTTCAAACTCCCGCCGAAATTCTGCGATTCCCCGACCAATCAGAATTTTCGAGGCAAAAATATTCATTCTGTGGATTTTGTTGATGTCAACACCTGCCAACAATAAACAATATCTCTTTAAATTTCCATTTACAAAATGTCTTCCGAGATAATCTACAAGGAAAACAGAATTACCTCCAGAGATGAAAATATTTTCGTTAAATCAGGTCTAGTTAATCTTTTATTTATTTATCCATTTCTCCTGTGCCTCAACGCAATCATTTATTTTCCAGATAAGGGGAGAGCAGTGATAAGAGCTTCTCCGAAGCCGAAATTCCTGTCTTTTCCGAGATTTATTTTCATTATCAGATCAGTTTTTCTTCCAGAAGGCTTTCCTGATAGCGTGCACGGAGATTACATTCCATATCAAATCTGGGACACAGTCCAGGTTAGATAAATAATTATCACCCAATTTATCAAATGAATAATTAATTGAATAAAATTGCAGGCATTTGCCAGTACAATCCTGGGGATCCTGACAACTCATTCAATTCTCATCGGAGTTGGTGTTGGAGAATCCACAGCAACACCTCTAGCTGCTACAATAGCCTGGATTCTGAAAGATGGGGCTGGAATGATTGGGCGAATTTTATTCGCCTGGTGGAACGGGTATTTAATAATCTATTCACTCAGGTCTGCCACCTGGCAATTCAAAACGCATTCTCCAGACAATTCTCCACCGTTTCTCCATTTTCTATAATCTCTAGAAATTCCTGAATCGTCAGATTGACTCGAGAAAATAAATTCTCCATTCTAGATCTCGACTCGACGCACAGTGCAAGAAGTGGAGAATTTTCGCTGA